TTGTAGCATCGTCAATGAACGTGGTGTAGTACTGTGAGCCTCCAAGGGACGATATAGAAGCTAATCCCCACAAGTCCGTATAGACCAACTCCAATTTTTCCTTTTTCAGGTCTCTCCCACCCTTTGAGAATAACACATTTCTCTACTTTTCAAAGATACAGTCATCGCATTCTCCAATATCGACGGACTTGAGACCTGACAATTTTCCCTTTGAGACAAGCTCTCTTATCCCTTTCTCGCTCATGTGTCCGAGACGAGAATGCCATAAATTTACATCATTATTTATGGCCACGGAACCGATTTCATCCCGCAAGTTTTTCATCATGTAGATGGTTCCATCTCTTTTCCCTTGAGCCACAACAATGGATCCCTTGGTTACCTTCCACGACTTAGTTTTAAAAACTGTCGAGTAACTTGCTTTATCCAATTGTCCGACGGAAATCAGATTCCGTTTCAAACCCGGGACATGCCTCACATCATTCAGTCTCCACTCCCCTCCATTCGGTGTTTAAATTTGAACCATCCCCTTACCTACAATTTTCAGTGGCTTATCATCTACAAGATAGACAACACCAAAATTACCTGCGGTATAGGATTCTATGATTTTCGAATCACTGCATGAATGGAATGATGCTCCTGAGTCAAAAATCCATGACTCCATTGGACTGCTGATGCTCAGAATCAATGCATCGGATATCTCCTCCGCTGCGTGCTCCGAAATCTGATCCTTCTTCAGCGCCCTGCACTGTCGTCTCAAGTGCCTTATTTTGTTGCAGTTCTAACATACCACCTGACTTGCATATTTCTTGTCCTTGTTCTTTGGCTTCGAATTTGACCATTCTTGATCTTGACCATTTCCCTTTCCTCTCAAATCTACCCTTATTTTCGGCACTAAGGGCAGATCCAAGTCCAAATTCAGTACTCTTACTCGAATTTCTCCGGTTCTCTTCGCTCAAGATTAGATCTCTGACTGCGTCAAATTTCATCTTCTTCTTCCCCGAAGAAGCCGCACTCAAGGTTGTTACTACCAAATTCCAACTATCCGGTAGAGACGATAGCAGAATTACATCTTTGATCTCTGAATCAAATTCAAGATTCACCGACCGTAATTGCACAGTGATCAGGTTGAATTCGTTCAGATGTACAACAGTAGGAGTCCCTTCAACCATCCTCAGGTTGAACAATTTTCGCATCAGATAAATCTTGTTTGCAGCACACGATTGTTCGTACATATCCGTCATGATTATTAAAATCTCCATTGTTGATTCTGCATGAACCATGTGAAACGAGACGTTCTCCAAAATGGTTAGTCGAACCGCACTCATCGCTTTCCTGTCGATCTTTTTGTATTCAGCTTCATCCGTGTCTTCGGGTTTCTCCTTCAATGTTGCATCTAGATCTTTACCATACAGGTAATCTTCTATCTGCATCTTCCAAAAATTGAAGTTCATTCCATCGAATATCTTGACAGCAGAACGATCACACATCTTGACTTATTCAAAGGAACCTAGAGCTTTGATACCAATTGTTACGAAAATTCCAAGAATTCAAGAAGAGACAAACAAGGACATAAGAATTTGGTAATCGAGTTCGATCACGAATGATCTACGTTTAGGAGCGCTGCCAAACATTAAATTTTATTATAGAATAGAATACAAATAACACTTGTTAAAGTGAGAATAGCTGATATTTATAGTCTAAGCCTATGCCAATAATATCCAAATCATATCTCTAAATCTTGTCTCTAGATTTTAGAATATAATCAGGCTTCATATCCCAACAGAATTTGAATAATTGTATAATGTGATATAAATAAGTATTGATATAATATTTTGAACATAAAACTAATTTATATTGTAATATAATATATAAAATAAAAAATAAATGTTTTATTTGATATTTTTGAAAAAAAAAAAATTTGACGAATAGTAAAATTTGATTAAAAAAGCACTTGGAGATTCATGCCTAAAAATCATTCCCTTATTATTATTATTTTATTATTATTATTATTATTATTATGTTATTTCATTTCATCTATGTATTACTATTTGATTCCATTTAGGTCATTTAAATCTATTTTGCAAGTATTTTGCAATTTTGAAAAGTTTTGAAGATTAAAAGTATATATCTATTCGATGCAATACAAATAGCTACTGAATGTGATTTTTTGTACAGATAATAGATTTATGGCGGTAACATGTTAAATTAAAAATGGTTTTTTTTTTTAAAAAAATATATAAATATATAGATAATTGATGAATAGTGCCAAAACGATCCGAACACATACAAACTTTAGCGAGCTTAGCTTAGTTCGGTTCAACTTATTTGAGCTCGTTGAGAGTTCCGTCACTAAGTTAAACAATATGAACACAAAATAATTTTTACCTTGTTATATTTACGTATAAATTCGAACTAATTTGCGAACATTCGATAATTCATTGAAAATTAAACTAATAGTATATATTATTATAATGTCATATTTAATTATATATTTTTACACAACTTTATTAATAAGATTATTATTAGTATTAGTATTAACTGAGTCTGAATTTAATTAAAATAAAATAAAATAAAATAAAATAAATTTTAATGAGCTGAATCCAGTTGAATACAAATACAAAAATTCTTAATAAATCAAGTTCAAATAAATAAATTTTAACTCATGTTTCTTAATGAATCAACACGAGTTGAGCTCAAACTTTTAATGAGTGGAATTCAAATTTGAAAAGCTCTACTTAGTTTAACCCGTTAGCAACTACTCTATTGTGTAATGGAAATAATAAAATTAAATATGTAAATACCTAGTTGTATAGCAAAATTCGCAAAGGATTTCTTACATAATAAATAATGTTGATGCAATTGGTTATGTGAACGTTCATGGCAAAATGCTATAGTTCTAATTATATATATACAATATATATTCTTTTAGTGATATATTGTTAAGGGTAGACACATTCATTTTTTTGTACATATTCGGTATTTGAATCGAATTAAAATGAATAAATATTTGAAAGTGCACACAATATTCTTAAAATTGAAAATATTTAAATTACGTACATAAAATCCGAACTCAATCTACATAAAGAAATTATTGAGAAAACGATTAAGGGTTTTTTTGATTGATGGTTGGTTTTGTAGTGGAGGTTGGTTGAATAAGATTAATTATATTCTTAATATTTGATTAATTATGTAATATATATGATTAAAATAAATTTAAACTGTATTTAAATATTTTAAAAACTATATCTCAATAAAAGTATACTTCAAATTGATATTATTTTGTAAATAATAAAAGTTTATATAATAAAAATAAATAAATAACTATATATTTATATATTATTAATATAAATTGATTTTATAAAAAATAGAAAATTTTGAGTGTATACAAATATAAGTGTTTACCGAGGAGAATGAAAATAAAATATTATAAATAAGTTCTACTTTAATGAATATTTATCAAAAGATTTGGAGGAAGGCAAACGGCAGATGAGGAGCTAACAAAAATTTTTCTATTAACAAAAGCAAAATACATATAAAAGTTTATGTTTTATTGAAAATGCATCACACTTCATTTCTTATTATTATTATTATTTTTTTGCATAAAGTCCCCTAAGAACCACTAAAACTCATACACATATTATACAAATTACATTAAAAAATTAATTCATACTCCAATATTGACAAGACTGAAAAAACTAGGTTGCTGATTTCATGCAATTTGTTTCTTTTTAATAGTAATTGAATTACTGAGAATAATTACAGGAAATACTGACTGGAGATAATTATGTACGTGAGAATGGGGCTTGGTTTGGTGGAGAAAAGGGAAGATTGCAGTTGTGTGGGCGTGACCGCGTGGGAGCGGCAGAAACTCCATGGGGATTTAAGGTTTCAGCAGAAGGAAAAGAAGAATTTCAGTCACATGGAAGAAACTTGATGAGGATGAAGAAGACTAGGGTTTCAATGGAAGGTTAAAACAAAAAAGTCAATCACAGGTGAGAAACTCAATGAAAATGAAGATGACTAGGGTTTCAGTGGACGAAAAAGAAAAAAAATCAATCACTGGCGAAAAACTCAATGCAGATAGAGATGGCTAGGGTTTTAATGGAAAGAAAAGAAGATCACCGGAAAGAAACTCGATGAGGATGAAGAAGGATAGGTTCCAATGGACCGAAAAGAAAATTCTTAATCACAAGTGAGAAACTAGATGAGGGTGAAGATAGCTAGGGTTTCAATGGGAATTAAGGAAAAGAAGAATTTCAATCGCGGTGGAGCAATTCGATGAGGATGAAGACGACTAGGGTTTCACTGGAAAGAAAAGGGTTTTCAATCGAAGGGGAGAAACTCGACGAGGATGAAGAATGCTAGGGTTTCAATTTGAAGGTATTGATGTGGAGTGTTACAAATTATAGACTTATTTATATGGCCAAATCCCTACAATATAATAGGTGTGTGATATTCACATAAAATACCATTCTGCTGTATGTATAAGGTTTTTTCTTTTAATGAAAGTTGTGGAGAGATATTAGAAATTATTGAGATGTCCTTTGGGTATAATTTAGAAATGAAATAAAAAGTAAGTAGGTGAGTGACACAAATATATCTTGTTTAGAGACTGAAATCCAAACATAAGGAACACATTAAGGACGCTTAATAATATTACTAATTTCCATATTTGGAATACATACGGAGCCCTAAAACATGAAAACCAAACATAAGAGCGGCCGGCCGGCGGTTCCATCCCTCAGTTGAGTTGCTCGGCTCGGCTGGATCTTCTTCTCCGTCGTTACAAATCAAACCCTAACGAGTACCCAATCAGATCAGAGATGGATCAAGTACTCTACAGACACAGACTGATTGACATTGACAGACAGACACATAATAATAATCATAATCTTGACAGACGACTCACAGAAACCTAGGACGCTTGACAGACTGACAGACGACACGATACTGCTCGACCTAGTTGGTCGATCATCAGATAGATTGTTCTCCTGAAGCATTCAACCCCATGGCTGCTGCTGGAAGTTTCCGAAAGTTGGAAACTGGTAGGAAGCAGAAGCAATAGCAGCAGCAGATAAAGAAGGGTTTCCGGCAGTCGAAAACACGGGGGTAGAGGGCAGCTGGCAAACGGGTACGGGCATGGGCATGGGCATGGGCATGGGGTGAAACATAGGGTTCTGGCCATGGAAGGCGGGATTAATGCGCAGTTCGGGGGCTGGAGCAGATTGGAATGCAGTAGGGCATACCGGCGGGGCGGGGGCGGGGGCGGGATTGGCGGCGTTGAGCCCCAGATTGTTGCCGGCCAACAGCCCTTCAGGAGACGTCCACACGGGCGTGTTGAGGCCAAGAGCAGCGGCGGATTGCATATTCAACGGGATCTGAATCGGCATGGCCATGGGCGGGTTCACAGTGTTGATGTCGTGAATGCTGTGGCGGCGTCGATCGCGCGGAGTAGTGGTGGACTGGCGGCGGAAATACTTCTGGGCGTGGCTCGCCACCTGCGTCGGGGTCTTGGAGATGACGTAGTACCTGGAGATGCTGCGCCAGTCGCCCTTGCCGTACTTGTTCAGCCCCATCAGAAACAGCCTATATTAATTCAATTCAATTCAATTCAAATTTTAATTAAAAACAAATAAATAAAAGAATCAATTATATTTAAACATACTGATGCTCCTCCTCAGTCCAGGGAATTCCCCTCCGCCTCGGCTGCGGCGGCGGCGGCGGCTGCTGCTCTCCATTCTCTTCCTCAGCAGCAGCAGCAGCAATATCTTCACCCACAACCTGCACAGCATCCGCACCAGGAACAGCAACAGCAGCAGCAGCAGCAGCAGAAGATCCTCCTCCCAGATCTCCTCCCTGCTCGTGCAGATTCTCGTTCTCCTCATCTTCCTCTTCGGCCTCCTCTTCCTCCTCCTCCTCCTCACCCTCATCATCATCATCATCATCATCATCATCATCATCATCATCATCCTCATCCTCCTCACTTTCATCATCATCCTCCTCACTTTCGACGTCGTCCTTGTAGCGGGGCACCGGAATCTGCCCGGTCTGAATAAGCTCGACGTCCTCCACCAGGGCCTGGAAGTGCTCCTTCACCTCCTCCATACTCTTCCACGGAACCCTAGCTGCCAAATTATCAAAAAAATCAGGGGCAGAGATGTTGAACCTGGACACTGCATCCTCGAACATTTTGTTCTCCGCGTAGGTCCACCCAGAGGTCGCCGGCGGCGGGGGAGGGGGTGGGGGAGGGGGAGGGGGAGGGAGAGGAGGAGGAGAAGGGGGCAGATATGCACGGACTACCGCCTCCAGACCAACCCCATCATCGCGACCCAGGAAGTTCGGCCACTCCATGAGAATTAAGAATTAAGGATTATTAGGGTTTTCTGCAATATGTGTTGTGTGAGTTTTGGGGACAACAGTTGGGGGATATTTATAGGGTAGGAGCAGCCATGAAACCTTGGTTTTGAAAACCGCTTTACCACCGGAGAAGGCTGTTTTAGTTCGTCTTTTTGCCTTGAAAAAAACATGGGCAGAAATCTGTGGGCTGCTCTCCAACGATAATTATTAGGGAAAATCTCCGATGATATCCCTAAACATAAATGTAATATGATTTCATTTGCTCCTCGCCCTCTTTCTTATTCATTTATTGGGAAACTGAATCTATTTTGGTGCTTTTCATTAATTCTGTGTCTAACCGCCGCAGGCACTGCAAATTACCCTAATTTGTTCAAAATTTCTAGGTTTTCCTACAATGCCCCTCCAAAAATTATTACACAAAATAATAATAATAAATTGTATCAAAATGTGAGGTAATTCTAGGTGTTTTATTGTTTTTATTCCTATTTTTCTTGATTTGTATGCAAATAATAATAATAATAATAATAATAATAATAATAATAAAATTCAATTATTGTTCTAGTGTCTAATTGTAACAATTTAAAGAATTTTACTATTAAAAATGACGGAATGATTCGTATGTATATCCGTAAAAACGTAGTTAAAGCAAAAAAAAAATGTGTGATCGTATTGATAAAAAGAGTTACACAAAAAGTGCTTTTTTTCCGAAGATATATGAACGAAAATTATAATTACTGATACCTGAAATAAATATAGAATATTAAATTTAAATTCGTTATACGTTGTTATACATGAGGTCATGCCGAAATTGTAAATGGCAACTACTAATCAATGAGCACATGCGGTATATCGTGATAACTTAGATACGACAAAGCCGTTAATATTTATTTTAGTGAGATTTCGATAAGTATTTTGTCACATTATGCTTAAATTTCAATTTCAATTTTTTTGAGTAGTATATATTTTTATTAATTAATATTTTATATTAAAATAAAATTTTAAAATACCTAATTTATGAGCACATAAAGAATGGAAAATCTACCAACTAATTCTAGATACACTTTATCATTCAAGATTAGCTAACTTTGTAAAAACTAATAAATTTTATTTTATCCACATTTCAAAATGGAAAATTACTTGTTTGTATATATATATATATATGCACAGTAGAAAAAATTTATATTGATATGTTGATACTATAAACTTATCTCGTGAGAATTTGTACCGATATTAATACGTGTATATATATGTTCAAGTAAATATGAATATTATATATATCACTGTGTTGATTGAGTTAAATCCGTCAAATCAACACATATTTGTAAAAAAAGTAGTACATATATATATCCGATAACACATATTAATATAATATATACATATATTTTGTAATATATTATTTCCCCTATCATCCAAATCTATTCTCACTTCCAATTTTTTAGTTGTCATAAAAAATTTTCTTTTCTGTTTTTAGTAAAAAAAATCTACTTTTTCTACTTGTTTTTAATCCGAAAAAAAGTAAAAGTTTCTATTTTTACCTATTTTTTTAAAATTCATACCCGATCAAATGAGCACACAATTGAATGACGGAGGAAGTATATAATTACATATAGGATAATATATTTTGATTTAAGCACACTAAGCAAATTATACATTAGAGCATAATATATAACTCATACAGAAAATATTAATACACATATTATTCAGTACAACATAATATATAACTTACATAGAATATGTTTTATATAACACATATATTATAAATTCTAATTACTTCAAATGAGTGTGCTAACTTGGTCAAATAAATACGGTATTGACTTGCCGAGATATATATACATATATATATATATACATAGGTTCCACATAAAATATTGAATTCTAATTGAATGTAAAAATGCATAATTGATCATTGAAAAAGTATAGCTAAATTCATTTTCCAAAGGTTTATTTGTTTTTATTTTATATTCCCTCCGTCAAAAATCAAAAGGGTATGATATTATTTTATTAGTTAGTGGAAGTGTTTAAGAGTTTTTGAGATTTTTATCATTTAATTTTATGTATAAAACGATTGTATATGTAATAATATGTTTGTAATTTAAATAAATGGTAAAAATATTTTGGTATTATGGTATATATGATTACGTTTTCTAAAATAGAAAAACGATACATTGAAGTGAGAGAGACGAAAATAGTAAAAATTATAGTTTGAATTGGAACAAAAAGAACATTTTTTTTCCCCCTTAGAATTCATCATATCATGATATATTAGGTTTACTTCTAACATAATAATATAGCATTAAAAACATAATTTTTATTCAAAACTTTATATTCTAAACAAAAACACTAGACAAACAAACCTGTTGTTTATTCCTACATTGTTCCCAAAAAAATAATTACAATAATTTAAAATTTTATGTAAAAATGTGAGGTAATTCAAAATGTTTTATTGTTTCATTCCTATTTTTCTTGATTTGTATGCAAATAATAATAATAATAATAATAATAATAATAATAATAATAATAATAATAATAATAATTCAATTGTTCTAGTAATTAATTGTAAATCACAATTTAATTAAAAAATTTTACTATTAAAAATGAGGGAATAATTCTTTCATATATCTGTAAAAATGTAATTAAAGTGAAAAAAAAGAAACTTTGTGATCGTATTGACAAAAATAGTACATGAAAACTACTTTATTTCCGAAGATATATGACCAAAACTTATAAATATTAATACTTGAAATAAATATAGAGTAATAAATTTAAATTCGTTATACGTCGTTATACATGACTTCATCCTGAAATTGTAAATGAAAACTACTAATCAATGAGCACGTGCGATTATATCGTGATAAATTAGATACGATAAAGCTGTAAATATTTATTTTAATTAGATTTCAATAAGTATTTTGTCACATTATACTTAAATTTAAATTTCAAAATCTTTTGAATAGTAATTTTTTTTATATTAATTAATATATTATATAAAAATAAAATTTTAAAATAACTAATTCATGAGTGCATAAAGATCGGAAAATCTACCAATTAATTCTAGATATACTTTATCATCAAGATGGGCTAACTATGTAAAAAATAATAAATTTTATTTTATCCACATTTTAAATTGAAAAATTATTTGTTTGTATATATATGCGCAGTAGAAAAAATTTATAAATGTTGACAGAATGAACTTATCCCGTGAAAGATTTTGCGGGCATTAATATGTGTATATATATATGTTTAAGTAAATATGGATATTATATACTCTTTCTGTCCGCGAAAATTAGTTACAATTCATTTTACAAATGAATTGTAATGATTTTGGTGGAGGGAGCATATCGTGTTTGTTATTGTGTTGATTGAGTTAAATCAGTTTATTGTTGATGATCCAATCACCACATATTTAAAAATAAACTACTTTTCTGTCGGGCCTGATTTGCAGGGTATTAGGTTCGGCCGGGGATTTACCCAGTGCACACTTTCGGATAGCAACTGCGGATTCCCACGTCATCCAAAAAATAAAATAAAATAAAATAAACTACTAAATATCCTATAATACATCTTAATATAATATATAACATATATTGTAGCATATTATATAATTAAATGCAGTATAATATATTTTGATTTTCGCATACTAAACAAATTATACATCACAATAGAATATATAACTCACACACAAAATATTAATACAATATATAGTACATCATATAATTTCATGCCGTTGTTATATTATGCTTTCAACTTAATAAGTAGACCATTCAGCACAACAAAATATATAACTTACATAGAATATACTTCTATATAATACAATATATTATAAATTTTAATTGCTTTAAATTAGTGTGTTAACTTGATCAAATTAGTACAGTACTGATTTGCAGATATATACACACATATAGATTCCACCTAAAGTGTTGAATTCTAATTGAATATAAAAATGCATAATTAATTATTGGAAAAAATTCATTTTCTAAAAGTTTAACATTTTTAATTTTATAATTTATTTTCATATAATTTATTCTATCGTGACATATTAGCTTTTCTTATAATATAATAATATCAAACTAAAGATATATTTGTTATTCAAAATTTTATATACTAAACTAAAATACTAAACAAACACATCTATGGTCAATGTCCCCCCAAAAATTATTACATCAAATAATAATAATAATTTAAAATTTTATATAAAATGTGAGGTAATTCAAATTATTTTATTGTTTCATTCCTATTTTTCTTGATTTGTATGCAAAATAATAATAATAATAATAATAATAATGAAATTCAATTGTTGTAGTGTCTAATTGTAAATGAAAATTTAATTAAAGAACTTAAATATTAAAAATGATACCATGATTCATTTGTATATCTGTTAAAATGTAATTAAAGCGAAAAAAATGTGTCATCGTATTCGTAAAAAGAGTTACACAAAAAGTGTTCTTTTTCCAAAGATATATGAACGGAACTTATAATTAGTGATACCTGAAATAAATATAGAATATTAAATTTAAATTCGTTATACGTCGTTATACATGAGTTCATGCCAAAATTGTAAATGACAACTACTAATCAATGAGCACGTGCGGTTATATCGTGATAAATTGGATACGACAAAGCCGTAAATATTTATTTTAGTGAGATTTCGATAAGTATTTTGTCACATTATACTTAAATTTAAATTTCAAATTTTTTTGAATAGTATATTTTTTTATATTAATTAATTTTTATATTAAAATAAAATTTCGAAAAAACTAATTTATGAGCACATAAAGAATGGAAAATCTACCAACTAATTCTAGATAAACTTTATCATTCAAAATTAGCTAACTTTGTAAAAACTAATAAATTTTAGTTTATCCACATTTCAAAATGGAAAATTACTTGTTTGTATATATATATATGCACAGTGGAAAACATTTATATTGATATGTTGACTCTATGAATTCATCTCATGAGGATTTTTACCGTGTATATATATGTTCAAGTAAGTA